AAGCAGATATTGAAACAGAAATGTCTATAGCTTTTTATATTAAATAGTGCTACTAGATTTGTTTTTCAATTTAATGAGGCTGTGGTTACTTAGCATTTATTGAACAATGTTTCCCAGAATTAATCATTGGCAGATGAAATGGAAAATATTTCCATTGCCAAACCTAGATGAAATACACCATTCACTCATACAAAGTTGCTTGGAACTTTAGAAGGTGCGAGCTCAGACTTTTTTTTAAAAAAACAGTTTTTAAAAAAAATTTTAGAAGGTGACATTTGAGCGTTTTAGTTGGATGATTTCAGTTTGAAGATATCAGAACTGAGCAAATCAAAAGGGTTTCTCTTTACTGCCCGATTTGTTGGGTTAGTAAGATGTACCCTTTTGCATTACCTATCCAGAAACCTCAAATTTGAGGTGTTCCTATTCAGTTCTTCAGTATTTAATGTTGTCTGTCTTTCTTTTGGTAATTACTATAACATGCACTTTATTCATCTGAATAGTTTGACCAAAGAACTTATATTCTTTACCATCATTCTTTAGATGATTCCAAACAGCCATTACTGATTTCCTTATAGGCTCTCGCAACATCCATCTGGTAAATTATGAACTCACTATAAGCACACAGCATCGATACACCAAGTGCTGGGCACCATAGCTGCTATTTTAATGGTGTTTTGCTCATGTGCCAAAGTACGAGATGGAATAAAAGTTGCAACTAATTTAAATGACGATTTCTAAGGTTTTAGAGAAGATTTGTAGCTCGGGTTGAGGAAGTTGTTGTTGGTTGGCTCGCCGAGCTGGTTCATTGTTACACAGATGTTTCATTACCCTGCTGGGTAACATCATCAGTGCAGCCTCCGCTGAAGAGCTGTTGTGTTTTCCCACCTGTCATTTAAACTCTGGTGTCCTTAGAGCTGGATTACCTCACTTCCTGTTTTCCTTCACAACGGCGTATATATAGGATCTAGCTCTATATGTTTATTGATGGCTTTCTTAATGGAGAACCAGGCCTCTAGGAATTCCCATGCTTGTCTCTGCTTCACCTGTCCCAGGATCCTGGTGTTGTCCCAATCGAATTGGTAGTTTTCCTTATCCATGTGGATGGAGATGAGTGAGTATTGGTCGTGTCTTTTTGTTGCCAGTTGATGTTCACGTACTCTTGTGGTGTTGGTAACTGGCAACAAAAAGACTAGACCAATATTCACTCATCTCCATCCACATGGATAAGGAAACTAAGTAAGCCATCAATAAACGCATAGAGCTAGACCCCATATACACTCCATTGCAAAGGAAAACCGGAAGTGAGGTAACCCAGCTCAACAGACACCAGAGTTTAAATGACAGGCGGGAAAACAACAGCGCTTCATCGGCGGCTGCACTGATGATGTTACCCAGCAGGGTAATGAAACATCTGCGGAACAATGAACCAGCTCGGTGAGCCAACCAACCACAATAAATGAGGATTTTTTGAAATAGCTTTTATATGGAAAATTATACACACAGTCACATCAACAACTTGCATCCATATAGCACATTTAACCTATAAATCAAACTGTCCACTGCACACAAACTGGGATCGATAATTCATACTCCACTATAGAATAGTTATAGCACAAAAAGTTGTCATTTAGCTCATTTTCCTGTGCTGGCCCTCTGAATGAGTAATTCACTGAGTTCCAGTCCCCGGCCGTCTCTCTATATCTCTAAACATTCTATCTTTTCAAATAATAACTCAATTACCTCAAATATTTCACTCGGAACTGGAACTGACTACCACACAATCAGGCAGTACAATATGAATTCTAACTACTCACTAAACTGGGCCTATCAATTTCTGTCTTGAACCTGCTTAAATGATTAAGTCCTCTGCAGTAAAGAATCCCCCTCATCTCTATCTTAAACAGCCTAACCCTAATCCTGAGTTTGTCCCCATATTCTGGGACCACTAGCCAGGAGAAAACAGCCTATGTACCTAGTCATGCCTGCAAGAATTTAGTAAGTTTTCAATTTGATCACCTTTTATTCTTTTAAACTCGAGAGAATACAAATCCAACTCCCACAGTTTCTTCTCAGTAAGAAAATCCCATCATGCCAGAAATTAATCTGGTGACTTTGCCATACCCCCTCAAGGGCAAGTATATCCTTCCTTAGATAGGGAACCCAAAGCAATACTCCAGGTGAGGTCTCACCAAGGTTCTGTAAAACTGCAGTAAGACATCTTCCCTCTGAACTCCATTCCTCTTGAAATTAATGCCATATTTCATATAATTTCTTGCTGCGCCTACACGCTGGCCTTTAATGCCCAATGGACAAGGATAACCAGATCCGATTGAATACCCTCTTTTCCCATCCTCTTACCATTTAATAAATATTTCTTTCTACCAAAGTGAATAACATCACACTTATTTACAACATAATGGTCTATCCTAGACCATTCACTTAGTCTGTCCAAGTCCGCTTGAAGACCCCTTGCAACCTTCTTATAACTTGCATTCCCACCTAGTTTGGTGTCATCAACGACTGTGAAAATATTCAGTCTCCACATTCAAATCATTTATATATATTGTGAACAGTTGTAGACCTGGAACTGACTCTGGCTGTAGCACTCCAGCAGCAGCCCATCATACTGAGAATGATCAGTTTATTCCAACACTGCTTTCTATTAGTCAATTTTCAATCTATACTGATACACTACCCCCAATCGCACACAAGCTAATTTTACCTACTAACCTCCTGCTTGGAGCCTGTCCTGCCACCTTCAACGATTTGTGTGTGACACTCGTACAAAACAATCACTTCTAAGTAGTAAAATGGACAAAATTAGACAAGCGAGTTTCAAATAATTCATGTTGTTCTGTGGCCTAAAACAATTGTTATTCGAATAAGATATTAGTTTGCTGATTAAATTGAGCAAGAATGAATACTATTTGATTCAGAATTTTTCCCAACTTTACCAATTACTTGTGGTAATATTTAATTTACTATGCATATAATACATGCACAAATTGAGTTAGTTGAGGAATAAATGCTTATAAATATTTGAATGTACAGTCTTCCAGATTTCAGGCATAACAATTTGCTCAACAGGATGGTAGGAGCCTGCAGGAACCTGGTACCATCTTTACAGTCATGCAATCACTACAGCACAGTAAGTCAATCAGCCCATCAAATTAATGTTGGCTCTATGCAGCAATCCAGTTTGTTCCACTGCCAAACACTATCCCCACAACTCTGCAAGTTAAATCTCCCTCGGGAACCATTCTAATAATATTTTGAAACAATTAATTGTCCCTGCTTCCACCATTCTCATGAGCAGCAAGATCTGTTCTGTATTCAGTTGCTATACATTTTGCTATTGAATTGATTCCACATGTACTAACTTATTAAAAGGCTTTTGAAAACTAAATATATTCATGTTTAGAAAGGCCAAAATCCATTATCTGCTGCTTCTGCAACAAATTCCCAAAGAGACTGGTTAAACTCCGAACACTACTTTCCTTTTTAAAATCTCTGCTTTTGTCTTATAAATCCATGACAGTATTTCCCATAACTCCACATTTGAAGCCCTCCAATCAGGTTTCTGCTATTGCCAACATATGGAAACCCTTAAAGTCACACACGACCTATGTGGCTCTGATTGACTATTAATAACTATTCCTCCACAATCATCTTAATCTGTTTGTAGTCTGGGATGAAACTGGCAACACAACTCTATCCCTAGTCACCATCTGCGACAGAACTTTGGTAGCCTTAGCATCCCATTTAGTACCAAGATGAACTCCTATACCCTCTGTAACACCAAGACCATCTACTTGGGCCTCTAACATCAGCTGCATCCTTGCTGCACCAGCTTAGCTGTTGCTTTAGTTTGTTCACAGGATGTGGCCCAGGCGGATATTTATTACCAATCCATTCTAGCCATGGACAGGGAGATGGCGAGTTCTCTTCTTGATATTTTTTCAGTCCTTGGAGTGTAAGAACATCTGCAGTTATGTTTGGAAAGGAGTTTCAGGTTTTGTTGCAGTAACAGCATAGGAACAGCAACGGAACAGCAACGTAGCTCCAAATGAGGATCAGTATGCATCTTGGAGAACGTGAAGGCGATGGTGTTTCCAATGCACCCACTGTCCACAACCATACTATTTTTGTTAGTGCTAGGTACAATAAATTGCCAGAAAATATATCCCTCCCACCAGCACTAACACCACCCCCTATTCCCATTTTGCAAGGGATCATCGATGCGATACTGTGTCAAATGGTGCCTTGATGTCAAGGTCAATCGCCTTTCCTGGTATTTGTGCTTTACTCCCACTGCTAATGTCCTTTTTAAATACTGTTCATCTGTAATGCTTTCCTGTTCAGGTGAGAACTTCTTATGCTTGAAACATTAACTTGTTTGTTTTCTCCACAGATGAGGCCTGGCCTGCCAAATGCCTCCAGAAGTTTTTTGTTTTCCAAACTTTCAGATTTCCAGCATCTGCAATAATGACTAATCAGTGAACTACAGACAACCTGCGCGTTTGGTTCCATGGTTACCTGTATTTGGTTGTAAAACTTCGGTTTCAAATTTTTTTTTTTTTTTCTGAAAAAGCATATTGGTTTAATTGAGCAAATTTGATTTGCTTTCCTTAAGGCAACAATTAAATTTAGGCAATAAGCCCAGAACACAATGATTAATGAACTGGAACATCAAGGTCAGGTCAGTGTAATAGAAAAGGTTGAAGTCTGATTTCAAAGTTTACAATCAAATTCCACTAATTATTAGTAGGAAATATCTGTCTGAATTAGGAGATTTCAAACCAAAGAGACATTACGTACACACACCTCTCAACGTGCATATTCTGACAGCTTTAACTGCACATTTTTTGACTGCTTTCCCTCAGTGGACCCACAAAACCCCATGATCATGGGGCACTGGTTCTACCAGACAAAGTTACTACAGTTTACTACAACCTTGGTCAGAATTCCAATTTGTTTATAAGGCTAATCAAAAGTCTTACCAATGATGTTCCACACCAGAATTCTCTAAATCCAGGTCAGGGAAGGTCAACTTGCATTTAGTATATGTCTGCAGGAGACCTAGCAGAGAAGGTACCATTATTAGTATCGTCAAAAAATCTGCCATTATTGTACTTAATTTAGACCAGGCAGAATTCACTTTTCTAACATGTTCTTTGGCTCAGTACCTATTTAAGTTATAATTGTGGCTGGCCACGAGACATGTTTCTACATGGAGGGCATGATATAAATGTTAGCACTTGTCACTTTCCTTTATCTCAATTCCAATTAGAAAAACATCTCTGGTTTTCAACTCTGTGCATCTTACACGGCCGCAACCATTGTCAAAAAACCCTGGCTCCACCATGATAATAACAAAATCGCTTTCTCCAAAAGAGTCTATTTTTATAGTTAAATCCATTTTAACATTATACTAACCATTAATCGAAGATTTTTGGGGCATTAAAAAAAACGCAATGATTTTGCTGAGAGTAAGTTTTGCTGCTGAATTGTGAACCAAATAAGAAGATATTGGTGTAGTCATCAAGAAGAAACAGTTCATCAACAAGCATGTCAATTCTTGGGGTTCCACCTTAGTTGAACCTCCTATCCCACCAGTGGTTTGAATTCTGCCTGATCAATTATCTTGTATCTGGAACATCAACTCTCCACATATGCTGCCTGAACTTGAGTATTTGCACCATTTCTGTTTTCATTTCCTTTATCTTGGTTTTCTTTCAACTACAGATAATAAATTAGTTATTGATTTAGTCTCTATCTCAGGAAAGATATTATTGCCATAGAAGAAGTGCAACGTAGGCTTGCCAGTCTTCTTCCCAGAATGGTAGAACTGTCTTATGACAAGAGATTGGGCAAGCTTGGCCTACATGCTCTAGAGTTTCAAGGAATGAGTGATGATCTCACTGAAACCTAAAAATACATAGAGATAGACAAGGTAAAAGCAGTTCGGATTTTTCCTCCAGTTGGGTAGTCTAGAACCAGGGACACAATTTAAAATTAGGATGGATGACACTTAAGCTCAAGATATGAAGCAATATTTTCTTTCAGGGATGTGTGAACCTTTGTAATTCTCTACCCCAGAACCTTTGAACATATTTAAGGTAGAGATTAGTAGATTTCTGATAACCAATGGGTATGAGGTGGGTAAAAGGCATTAAAGTGTTCAATCAGCCAGTATAGTGTTGAATGGCAGATCAGCCAATGGGCTGAATAATCTGCTCTTGCTGCTATGTTCCTATGATTCCCACGACAGAGGATAACTGAAGGCAGATGAAAGATAACAGCACGAGAGCTTGAATCAGCTCTCCACATCTGAAATCCCATGTTGATCTTAAATGAAGTGGCCCCAACAAATAGACTCAACTGTAAATATAACCTAACTCTGACTACCTGGTCAATTATCTTCTATTGGTAGTGTTTCTATGTGAACAGAAACAAAAAAAAAATCAATTCGTTGGTGCTACTGTTCAGAACAGGAAGTTCACATTGTGAATAAATCTGACACTAAGGAAGACCTCTCTCATGTAAAAGGCTTAAGTTCTTAATTTTTTTTCCTAATACTTGAATGACTAATAATGTCTATCAACTAAGAAACCATCACAAGATTTCCTGTCTGTTACAGGAAGTATGGACAACAGGAACTTCTTGTCCTTTGTAGCACCATCACTTCTTAAGTTACAACACTAGCAATAATGGAATTGCTTGAACCCATGCAATTTCCCATATCCCCATAATTAGAAAGTCAAAACAGACGGGCACTTAACAAATCATTCAGTGGTTCTTCTGCCCACACACATTTAAATTTAGAATTCAAATTCAGTTCCACTTTTGTGCTTATTTGATTGTGGGTTGTTGTATGTCAGGGAAAAGAATGCTTCCAATTGAAAGGGGGAGCTAACTCCCAGATGATTGGCAGAACCTAGTCTGGGATCAGATTAAATTGCATCCTGGCATCACATCTTGAATGAAGTGATTGCATGTTTAGGTATTTTTAATGAATCTGTTAGGGATGTTAATGACACACCTGTAGAGCAGACGGGACTTGAACCAAGGTCTCCTGGCTCAGAGGTAGGGACACTACACTGCATGACAACAGCCTCTTAAAACACACCCACAAGCTCAAATTCAGCTGCAACAGTGGAGTTTGAATTAGAAGACTTGCAAATATTCACAAAGTGCAATAGTTAGGCACTGAACCTAGCTCAACTGCTTGGAGGCAGCTATGCTCACCACTACGCCACCATGCTTGCTGCAGGGCCTCAATTTTAAGTATTTTTAATCAACCTGTGATGACACAATATGGCATACCTTTGAAGCATGTGGGACTTGAACCAGGGCTCCTGACTCAGAGGTAGGGACATTATCACTGCAGCGCAAGTGCCCAAAAGGGGTTGAGAAACAGATATTTTCTAAATCTGTTCAGTGATGTCATTAGGCATCTCAGGAGCAGGTGGGACTTGAACTCAGGTCTCCTAGTCCAGTGGTAGAGACATTATTAATGTGACATGAGAGCCCTAGGCCTCAATTTTACTTTCTAATCAATCTGTTCAAAGATGTTATGAAACAGGCAGGACTTAAACTCAGATGTTCTGATCCATAGGTAGGGACACCAACACTTCCCCAAAAGAGTCTGTGCCTCAATGTGAAGTTACAGGTATGAAAAACACACCTAAAGTGGAGAAGTTCCTGCTATAAATAGGCAATTCTGACTAAGTAATTGAATCCATAACAATCCTGAAAACAGGCCTGTACAGAGTAGTTGTGGGGGCTTTACCACAAGGCCAGAAAGTTGATCAAGAAGCAAATGCAAGTCATTATAAAATGCAATTAATTTATACGTTAAGCCAACTCCTCAAAAAAAAAAGGATTTTCCCAATAAGACCCCATTCTGTGGCTTCAAAATTGTTGTGACTGCTGAATGAGACCAGAGAAACTGGGAAAACAGCAGTAATAACTTGGTCAGAGCACTCTAGCACCCATTGCTGCCTCAGAGCAAAAGATCCCAACATTTCAGCTCACAAGCCCATCTGGGGTCCCACACTCCAGTTTGGGAAGCCCTAGCCAAAACGCAAGGTCATGACTGACCTGTTCTTCAAACCTTGGTGGTGTTCTGCACTCTGGATCTAGGTCGCACAAGTTACAGCAATTGTTCAGCTGTCATAAGTTCTTCCCTGTAGCGTTGATAAATCTATTGATGCTCCAGGCAGTGCAGCATAGTTTGTGCAAAACTGCTTCCCATGAACAAATTCGCCAACTTGAAGAAGTATAGCTGCAACTGTATCCTTCACCCTGGCAATCATACCACCAATACTATTTGATGTCATATAGTTGTGCAAGTCTCACTAAGAAAATAGATGTGAATATTGACAACCAATTCCTATTTGGCTGTCTCAAATTGCTCCCGGCCTCAAAATAAAGTGATACGCAAACATTCCAGCTAATAGCGTTATGTAATACTTGTAATCAGTCACCACTAGGATTCAAACCAAAAAAACAGTAGGTTGAATAAGGTTCTTTGTTACAAACAGACTAGTACATAGAAACAATGCTTGTAGTAAATTTCCATCGCACTATGTCTCATCAACATTTGGATCCAGTTCTACAAGATTTAAATGGTTGAAGTGTACACAAGATGGTTTTCAGGCATAGTAGGAACTGCAGATGCTGCAGAATCCGAGACAACAAGGTGCAGGGCTGGATGAACACAGCAGGCCAAGCAGCATCATAGGAGCAGA